GCTTAACGATATATGTTAGACTGTCAAAATGAGAATAAATATTTTTAGCTCTTGCAAAAGATAACAAAAACAATCCTGCAATATTTAATGCTTGCATGCATGCGTGCATGCACGGTTGCTTAACGATATATGTTAGACTGTCAAATGAGAATAAATATTTTTAGCTCTTGCAAAAGATAACAAAAACAATCCTGCAATATTTAATATCTCTATGCATGCATGCAAGATAACCATTGATACATACAATTATTTTATACTATTATATTACAAATTTTCTCTTCAATTATGCCATTGTTAAGTTAATTTTTAAATTTAGTTTTAAAAAAAATTTTTTTCAATTTTTTTTTTGCTCCAAAATTTAAATTTATAAATTACAAATTAGTAATAAAAACCAAATAACTAATAATTGGAAAAATTGGAAAGTAAAAAATAAGCAAACAATATGCAAATATTAGGAAGAATTAATCATTTGTTTAAAAAAAAAAAAAAAATTATTTTTGTAGAATTACAAATAATTAATATTAATTAAAGGAATAAAAATTAAAAATAAAAGAATTAATTAATTAAAATTACTAACAAAGAAAGATAAAATACGTTGTTGGTGATATTTTACATTATGTTAATAATGTAAAAAAAAATTAATTAATTAATTAATTAAAATTACTAACCAAGAAAGATGTAATGTGATTTTGGTGGCATTTGACATTGTTTGAATATTGTTATTAAATGAATTAAATCACCATCTAAACTACCAACAATAAATACCAATGTTCGCTCTAATGCGCTCTCCGGTACAGCAATAATCATATCATCACTTCTATGCATAAGTGCAATCGCATGATGTATTAACTTGAAAAGAAAAAAAATATCATTTATCATTTTCCGGATCAAATAATCAGGTAATTCCGGAAAATGAAAATGCTATTACTTCTATGCATAAAGTGCAATCGCATGATGTATGAACTTGAAAAGAAAAAAAGTATCATTTATCATTTTCCGAATTAAACAATCAGGTAATTCCGGAAAATGAAAATACTATTACTTCTATGCATAAGTGCAATCGCATGATGCATTAACTTGA